TGCATTATTATTTAATTGTTTCGAGTGCTACTTTCTTTTGTTAGTTTAAAGATTATGCTAACACTGATCCGATGTGCTTTTGTCTTTGTTTATATTGTCTCTTCCCAGGACACTTTAAAAATATAGGACTTGAAATCAAATGAGCAACGGTTTCGAATAACTCGTAGTTTCTTCACGTATATTCTCAAAATTTCTATTAGAAGTAAATTTTCACAGATGTCATTTGGTTATTATTACAAATAGCTGTTGCCCGCGACTTCGTTCACGCATATTAAGATAAAAAGTAGCATATAATATGCCCGACTATGTCAGCTACCTTTCAATGAAAGTCCGGTCGCCAGCCAAGCCGTTTCGGAGTATACCCGGAACAATCGCGACTTGCGGACAGGCAGGCAAAAAAAAATTAAATGCGATTTTCGTTACCAGCAAAGTAAATAGATAATTTTCCCGAAATCTGGATTTTTTAAATGTTACTAGAATTCGAAGTTTTAAAAAATGACCAAACTCTAGATAAAGTACACATGTATCAACGCCCATCAATATTCAGTTTAACGGGAAAAATATTTAGAAATGTTCAAAAACAACATTAATTTATCAAAAACCAGTGCATCGCTAACGGGCTATCTAGAGTAATGCTGGTGGGCCATACATCAGTTTGTTCCATTCTGATGTTAATGCGCTCGCCGCCGCTCTGCGCCCGATATTGTGCGTCCCTTCCGCAATAACAAATGTTTATTTTATACACAACGCCACTAACAATAGTGGGCAAATACCTAGACACCGTAAATGTTCGCGCGATGCGATTTAGATGGTAATGCCCCCGCAGTAATAATAACGACCGTTTGTTGTAATTTCACTGTTTATTCGGATTGCGGTCCTCTATTGTGAATTTAGGGAATATTCGCTTTTGTTATTTTATTTTGATATCCTATACGGAGACAAGTTATCTTTATTAATTAATTGCATTAAATGTGTTTTGTGCAATACTTTTAAATTACTAGTTAGCGACTTAGTACGCGTAAAAAATTGTAAAAATAGATCCTATATTACTCACAGATAAATTAGCGGTAAAAGAATTTAAAAAATCAGCCCAGTAGTTTTGACTTATTTCAATGCATGCAAAAATACAAATCTTTCCTTTTTAGATTAGTATAGATAGTGAAGATTGTAACTTAACTTCTATTTTTTATGGAGACTTATCTATATTCAATACATGTTTACTTTAAAGAATAAATCATAGTACATACCTGTGAAGGCAGTAAACAAGAAACAAAGGGGCCGCCTACATGTTTAATTCGATATTTAAAGGTGCCTGCGGGTGCGGGAGGCACCTGACAGCGCCCATGCATATTCATATTGTGTGATTAATCACGCTCCAGCGTACCCCTGATTCGATACCTACAAGATATTCATACCTACAGACACCCTTTTGTTAACGATGTTGCCATAAGACAATATTATTACTTTTTATTTGTTTTTTCTTTCAGTATCAACAATAAAAGTTACTAAAAGCACTTATTTAAACGTTTAATTTTCGTAAATTATACTTTGATTAATGACTATTACTAGCTAATTTATTAGACTCTAACGTAATCATCGTATCTTCTTACAAATTAGGTTAGAAATTAAATTGGTATTTCAATTTAAAAGTCATTATTACGTAGTGTTGCAACACTGTAAATAAATAAATTAGCATCTACATTCTGAAGATAAATAGGAACCTAAATGGATATATGTTAATTTGTAGCCTGTTAGCATAATTTGTTGTTGGTAACTTACGTAATGAAGACGACTAACTATGTAAAAAGGCTTTCTTGTTATCTTACTAATATTAAATGCGAAAGTTTTGATAGATGATTGGATGGACGTTTGTAGCCTAAATTACTAAATAGATCTCAATGAAATTTGGCATAATAAGACATAGAAAGCCAATATTTGAATAATCAATTGTCATAGAAAACAAAACATATAGGTTTTAGTAATACTTTAAGCAGCCAGTATTAAAAAGAAATTAAATTAAAACGTTCATTCATAAAAAACTAAACTATTTTCACACCACAAATACAAATATGATTTATTAACCTATTTTAATGAAGGCAAAGCATACGCCACGCGTGCCCACGATTTTTTACGTTCCTTTCATAAAAAGTAGTTTACAATGTCATCTCTAAATCCTTCCATCGTATATAAAAAAATATTAGCATACGGAATCCATATTGAAGTCGTCCTTTCTTGTGAGCCTACATCTGTCAGTGGGCGGATGAAACGAGAGATGCATTTGACTTTTATGCAAATTCACACACTTTGCCGGCTATTAGTAATGTTATTGCAATTCGGTTAGTGCGAATACACCCTTTAATACATAATAATGAGCACGGATATAACATTTAGTCTAAAATTAGAATGTGTGTTATCTGATGTTGATCATGACTTGTAGACAACCATCTTAACAATTGGATTGACGACCAAAATTCAGTACAATAGGGTAATTTTTATACATTTTGTTATCTAGATACATATTGGTAGCATATTATACACTACTGATTACCCATCAGCGTCAATCACGAATAAAGCGTTGTCATGTGAAAAATTAAGTGAATTCCGTGGAGTGACAAATTAGGCGGGTCAGGGGGATATGCGGGGTGAGGGGCGAAGGGAGTCGCGTGCCGCGGTCTCGCGGGACCGCTGACGGATTGCGGGCCGATTGCGAATGACGCCGACGTCCGATGTTCCCCCAATCGTCAACAGCTTGATGCTTTGATGTCGACTGTCCGATGACACCGATGTGACTCCTGGCATATAGTGGAAACATTATCTTAAACGGCATACGTGAGTTATTAAAATCAACTAAAGTGATGCCACATCTCAACGCTTAAAAAAAATTGAATGCTTTAATATTATTGTCTATACTTAGCTCTAAAGGTATGATCATGTGGCATGAGATACATTTATAATATCTGTTTTATATTTAGATTTTGAGTGTACAATTGTGATTCGAGTTTATGATTTAAAAAAATAACTTTCGAGTAACGTTAGGTAAATATTATGGAAGATTAGTTTTTTTCAAAAACCTTTTACAATACCTATACATGTGACATAACTAATATTTACGCTAGAACTATGTAATCCAACAAACGCACACAATAAAAATGTATTCGTATACAAAAACAAACATTTTTCATCTATTAAAAGTGCAAACAGAATGTTTGTACAATTTTTTTTTCATTTACTCGTAACCGTTGGGGCGCAAAAAGGTAAGTGATCGCGGCATATTTTTCAGTACGAGCAAACACACTCTCCATTCATCGGCGCAATGAAAATATTGGCCATTTATCTTTGGTCCGCCGGAAAAACGACCTGTCGCGGCGGGTCTGTCGCCGCCGGACCTGTCGCCGGCGGGCCTGTAGCGCCCGCACGCCCTGTGCTGTGTGCATTGTCAATGGAATTCATTTATCGCGTTCGCTGATATGTGAAATCACTATTTCGTTTTGATGCCCGTTGATCCTTTCCAATTTTATTGTTTTTGCAGTACAGTGGGTACGTAAATGTATTTTTCCCTCGCTTCGTGTCACGAATGTCGTATTGACGCATTACGGAGAAACGATTCGCGATATTTGAGTTTATCAATAAATAATACATGCATAGTCCACCATGCAATCAATATAAGCTCAATATTTTAACTATTAACCTGTGTATTTTTTAATCTTCTGACTGACTAGTTTTAGAATTTATAAGCGAATAAAAGAGTAATTTACAAATGAATGTCCTACATGATTACTTAGCTTTATATAGTCGCAATGACTAGAAAACACTAGTGACGAAAATGTCTAAATAAGATATTAACACTAAAACATTTCATTAAAACTAAGTAAATAACAATAGAAACATTTTGAACCATTTGATTAATAAAAGAAACGGTTTTAAAACGAAATATGAACTTTGAAACTAGTTACGCCATCTATTGTCGGATAGCGAATGCTCAAGTAAAAACTTTTCGTCGATAGATGTCCTTTTTAAAATTTACTCACAAAAACAATGGCGTAGATTTAAATTTTTAAATACTAATGTTTTTACAAATTACATAATTATGATTTGTATTCATTTCATAAAACGTGGACAGGATGATGGTAATTCATTTGTAAGGGTTATTTAACCGGTACATATAGTGTAAAAACTATAAATAAAATTACTTAATTATATCAAAAATCTTTATTTCCTCCACTTTAGACCCATACAGTAACCCATAAAATATAAAATACAAAAGTAACAAAAATACAAGAAGTAAAAAAAAAAATCACAGACATTAGTTAGATACTAAAGAGTAACACGGTAGGAACAGAAGGAATGTTTTTACTGAACGTGATATTAAAATCTAAGAGCGGGCGCACACCTTTGACTAAACTATCGTACAACGGTTGTGCGATTGTCGATTGTTTCGCATTCAACTGTTTAGTTGGATAACTAAAAATGGAGAAGTATGCGCATCTCCATATAAGCTCATAAGATTCAAATGCGACTAAACAGTTGTGCGATAGTTTGATCAAAGGTGTGCCCGCGCCCTTAATGTTGACAAGTAAGCAGCGAAACTGTAACATAAAACAACACTTGTAATCATAATATCTCAAAAATTTTAATGAAAACGAAATACATATTTTGTAACAGATTTTATACCTGTCAAAGGATACCCGCGTTATTTGAGCAATTTAAATAAAAAAAAATCTCAAGCGAGTTAGTATATATAGTAGCTATTCCAGTAGCTGGAACACTGGCATGCAAGCTACAAAACTATTTTACTGGCATGTTCTCACCCTCATATTGTCATGAGTAATATTGTAAAAATTTCTTAAACCTATAACAATTTAACATTAATTCAATAAATAAAATAAAATTAACCTTCAGTTAAATGTTTTTAACTAAACACTGATTTTATTTTATTTTGTAGATTCTTTATCACATATTTTTAAATATTTATAACATAAAATTTATATTACTATAATAAAATTTATGAATTTATTTGCATTGATAAAACATTTTGTGCAGATCATTATTACTAGTGTAATAAAATATTCAGGAAATAAAAAGACTTTCAAGGAACCCTAAATTAATCCCAGTTCTTAATTAAAGGCATTATTACCTCTCAAGGGCCTTAAGTCATTTTCCACTGAGCTAAGTCGCGTTATTTTAATCTTTTTGAAATAGTATGGTATTTGTGGCAACGAAAGAATGTTATAGCTAACCATAAATAAAATCCTTAAATAACAGAAACATGGAATAAACTACTCGTTATATTCATTACAAAGTGAAATAATAGAAGAGGCGATTAAAGCGCCCACTCTATAATTATTCATACTGATAGCTCCGCTAGTGGAAAAAGGATAAACGCCTGTTACATTAAGTCCATCAACGACAAATATTGGTACAATTTACATTTCACTAATTCATATGCCTTTACAAGCACCATTGTACGTAGAAATCCAAAAGGACTAAGGCACACAAAACCAGACACCTGGTCCTAAATTGTTTCCTAACAAATATATGACAATAGTTAGAATATCCGCATGGTGTTAGCGCAGCCGTGGTTCATCCTATACTGGACGTAGATCATTGCAGAGTTATGCCAGTAATAGAGCGCACCTAGGACCAACACATGCCACCACTGATGGGAATGGCCGATATAGTCTACCTTACCGGGGAACCACCGTTCTGGTACCTGTCAAAAAGTTACACTTATAAAATCCTACTATTGGTTATAATATGCAGCTGTCTCTTTCATTCGATAAAGAAAATATGAAAGAGATAGAAATCTTACCTTAAAAGCGTATATCGCAAATGCTGTGCCGCTTATCACATACATGCCGATAACTCGAGGGAAAAACATCTGAAAGTAAAACAATAAAATAATTAGGGACATTAACAGTAACTTAAAGAAGCTTCGTGCACTTCTTTAAGTAAATACACTACTAAAATTACATAATCTTTGACGCGTTTACAAAGAGTACGTTACTGCTAGCACTTTAAGTCATTTAATCTTTGACCAAATTTGTCATATCTTTGCCAACATTTAAAAAAAAATATTACAATAAAGAACATTTCATAACAATAAAGAACTCTAATTGCAAAATCTATACTTTTATCATAAAGAGGAAAGATTTGTATTTTTGTGTATATTTAAATAACTCAGAAACTACTGGGCCGATGTCAAAAATTCTTTCACCATTAAAATCTACGTTATCAAGGAGTAAAATAGACTATATTTTATTCTTAATATGAATCTGACAAAGTCGCTAGTAACAGCCATTTAAATATATTTTATCTACAGAAGATATCATAAGCCAGCTTACCTGAACCATAGGGTTATCGAAGCCCCCCATAACATAAGTCCAGTGTAGAGTGGGCAGAACGCCGTACGCCGCCCAGCCGATGAAAACGCACATCTTGACCGCATACGGCACATTGAAGCGCGGCACTTGCAGCGCCATCGCCACAACAAATATCACAGTCACTGTCAACATGTAGAACGTCTTCAGTTCCTGAAAATAATACAAGTTGCATAAAGCGTTTATTTACAACAATAAGGTAATTTAGTAAGCTACTAAATTCCAAATGCACGCTTGTCGGTTTTTTTTTATATACAAAAAGGTAACAAACGAGCAAGCGGCCACCTAAATCCGCCAAAATGGCGAAGCGACCGCTGCCCATAAATCGACGGAGGAGGCACATAAAGAGGATATTTCCCCTTATGCGTCTCCTCCACAGTCAAATCCACTTTCCCATCCGAACCTTCCCTTATAAGAAAAAGGTGGGACGGAAAAGGGACTAACATTTCGGAGTTTCATAGAATAACAATAATAAGACGTCCAATTGACGTCTCCTTAGAGCAAAGTAAGCGGTTTTTTTTGTGAAATAGAGAAATATATTCGCATTATACATGCGTGCGTCACTACGCTATTATTGAACAAAAACTTTAATGTAATTTGTTTGATTGGCTTTTCTTCGTGACCAATACAATAAGATAATGAAAACCCATAAGTTAAAGAGATGGTGACGTCAATTTTATTTTTACAAGTCATCTTACGCTTTATTTTCGAAAAGTATTGTAAATTAATTTGTAAATAGAATCCAACTTTTTACTTAGGAAACATAGTAACATTCCAGCGAGAATACTTCAATCTATCTGTTTAAAAATTGCTTTTTTTACCGCCATTTTTAACAAGATATCAGTGTCAATGGCAACCTCCGGTACTTAAAAAAATATTTAAATATTGTAGCAGATTGACTTTTCCGTCGTATATAGGATGTATTGCGAAGTACTATAATTGACCTTGCCCTAATACCAGGTCAAGTTGAGGCACGTGGCATTGCGGGGAGACTGCGGAATGCAAATCAATACGCTGGCAACACCGTGGAATTGAATTGCTAAACGATCGTACATCAGAATTTCTAATCATTGATTTGACTGTTAAATTTCTCAGCCGTATTTATTGCAATAGACTAAAAAAACTATTAGAACGGACATACCGTAGTCGCCAGGTTTAAGAGGGGATATCTATACTATGATATTGTTTGTAGTAGTTTTATATCTATTTACAGTCTCTAGACGAAGGCAGCTGTCTCCTACCCATTAGAGATGCCCATGCTGCTAGCTATAACCTACCCTTAGAGGAATATATTATAAATTACACGCCATTCACACTAACAAACAGGCCAAAACTAACAATATATTCCTACCAAAAACATCGTAAGTAGTATGCATAAAAAATGAGGTTACAATAATTGAAAATTAACGAGCGTAATTGTAATCTAAATAAATTCTATAGCTGCAAGCAAGAGTAACAATAAAAATAAGATTAAAGATGGCAGTAGAGCGTAATTACTATCGTAACTTAAACTTTCACTTACACAAAATAATCTTCACGACTTTCCAATTACAATAAATCAACTCAGAACTTAGTAATCGATCTCTATTAATATTCGATTGTCTAATAGAAAATGTTTTATGTTAAAATTCCAATACATATAAAAATTTAAATACTCGAATTTTTGGTTTATAATAAAAGCAAAACAAACAAAAATTATCAATGTAATTGTCCTTGACCACATTTATAAAACATAATCATGATTAGATAGATATTTATAAATAACTATTATTTTTAACATATTTATGCATTTGTTAAAAAAAACTACGCACATAATCTACAGATTAGAATAGTTTCGACATAAATTATTAGATAACCAAATACCTAGAATTTTCATTCCAATTCAACTAATTTATTTATCTTTACTATTATTTATCTATAAAAATTAAATTTCTTCATTCGTATTTTAGCAGATATTCTACGTATACTATTTACATCTCATCTAAATATAATATTACAAATAATGGCGTATATGTTATACATTTAGCATTTATTACTGAACGACATTTATAACATAAACTTGATATTTTTAATTAATTATAATATGCCATTATCAATAAATGTAAAAGGCACATTAGTTTTATTAATTTGTCAAATATAAATGATTTAATACCGTTGTTTGAGACATTTTAATTAAGTTTATTAAAAGTATATTTTGTTTAGAAAACTTAAAAAAAGCAAGTTACATTTACGTCTCTATTTATAACGAGACGGAGAAAAACTATTTTACATTGTACCTATAAACAAATGGTCATACCTACTCTTTGAAATAAAACCAGAGACAAGTTTTTTTTTTCAGTGTACTTACGTGGTGGCACCAGAATGCATAGTATACGCCGGAAGTGTAAATAGCCAGCAAGGAGAGCGCGATGCCGAAGAGATCGTACATAAGGAATGTGTTGTAATCCGACTCGGAGCGACACGAGAAAGTGTGGTACAGAGCGGACAGCGCCATACAAACCTGAAATTATATACAAATTATTGACGTACGGTATATTACATTGGTAATTTTTAGGGTATAAAATTACTTCTGATGTTTTGTCATCCCCTGGTACTTTAAATTAAGCAATTTGGCATTTTTAATTATAGTTTCATAATTATTTATTTGTTAGCCCACTTTTCACTACTTAGAGAAAATAACGCCCAGAAATTATAAATGAACCTTTCTAAATAATTCATCTCTCCTTCACAATAGGTGAAATAATTGCTAAGTTGGAAAGTTAAGTGTGCTTAAAGGTCTCGTAAAACTTGACGTATTTAAGACGTTTTCTCCAAGTTTAAATGCATACTGGCAGTTTCATACCATTGGCTCAATGCTCAAATAAAAAAAAAATCATAAAACTACTGTATTTTTTTTACAAACTACAAGACGATAAACATCAAAATTAAAGTAACACAAAACAGGTAAAAAATCGACTAACTTTTTATACAAATCTTCAGGTCAGTCACATCAGAGCCATTTTAAATTATACTTTGCTTGCGTCACGAAACTAATAGCACGCTATATGTTAAGAGAACCATACACTTTGCATAATATTATCAACATAAACGAAGAAAAAAACGGTTTTAACAAAAAGTGATAATACACCTTATTTATTTTGCCTTAAAATAATAGATAATTTAAGACTTTTTTTTGTTTCCAAACCACCTAATAAAGAAGCATCATGAACGTGTCAAAAAACGCAGTTATAACGGTATTGTATTGAACCGCTTTCTAGTCTTTACAGTTGCCATGACGACCTAAAAAGCGATTAAAATTTGTAAGTCAGCGAAGTCAACAATAATCGATAGTGAACAGCAAAAATTATTTCATACTACTGAATAATTAAATCTCGTACAAAACGCTTATTTCCATATGTTACCGACTAATGGAAAAATATACTCTTAATTACATAACCATAGATCACGATGGTACAATATTGTACAGCTATTTTTTTTAATACTTTATGATATAACATGTTGCCTTTTTGTTATAATATTCATGTGCTAAGGAAAAATGTAAAAACCGACAAGGCCGCAAACAAAATATGAAAATCATAATCAAGATTAACATTCTCAATAATTCACAAAGTAACGATAACAAGTTTTAATATAAAAAATCCTCGTATACAATGAGCTACTTTTCCTTGACAACGTAAAGGTTTAAAGTTATAATGAAATTGTCTGTAATTATAGTAATCGGCCAACTTATTGATAACTGGCTGTTGCTGGCGACTTCGCATGACATTAAAAAATATAGCCTATGTTAGACACAGATAAAATTACCTTTCTAACGGTGAAAGAAAATTGAAAACAGGCCGAGTAGTTTTTGCGTGAAAGAAATACATACAATAATACAAATCTTCCCTTATTAGCTTTCGCCCGCGACTCCGTCCATGTGGAATTAAAAAAAAATGAGTAGCCTATTTGTTCTTCTAAACTATCCTCTAAATCTGTACCAAACTTCATCGAGATCAGTTCAGCCGTGTAGGCTGCAAACTCTAACAAACATCCGTCCATCCATCTAAACTTTCGCATTTATAACATTAGTATGAAATAAGTATATGTATTGAACAAAACACTTACAATATAAAATGGAGACTTGCATATTTCCTACAGCCTTGTTTTCTTAGATTCGTGACTGTACACATATTATAAGTGTTTATAGTATAAGATTGACAACAGATGCGGTTGTTACTTTCATCGCTCGCCACATCTATAGCTTTCACTCATCATGTACACGCAAATATTAAATGTAAGTCATAGACGCAAAGATTTTTAATTCCTAAAATTTTTGAAAGTATAAAATGTACAAAAACTTCCCGTATGGGCAGCTATGAGCAGCTATGGGCAGCTAAAGGCAGCTATGGACAGCTATGGGCAGCTATAGGCTATAATTTGTCAGTTATTTTGATCACAATTCAATTACCATTTTATATTGAATCGTGGAACAAGCCAGCAGTGAGTGCAACAGTATGTAGATATTCTAACGCTGAATATATATAAACGTTTACAAACTCAGAGCAATTACGATAGATTCATTCATGCTAAAAGAAGTGTCTTAAGTTTTCAATAAACTGTACACATGTTTATTCAATTTCCCCTTGTATGCGCTTTATTTTGGTTGGTAAGTACGTATATATGAGAATATCTTAGAGAAAACTGTCAAAATGTTGGTCAAACTATTGGACTAATGACTATAGGAAAGTGTTCAAGTCCTAAATACCTTTAGACTTAAGTAAATAAAACTGTTTTGACATTTGCGAAGATTGGCAATACCTTTTTGTCGTTTTTTTCAACGCATAACTTTCACTAAAACGTCAGCGGGCCGGTCATCCGCGCATGCGCAGTGCGCACTTTCGATGCGTCCGCCAATGGGGCAGCACATAGATTTCGTAATTCATCTCGAGGAAATAATGACACTTCGCACCGAAGTCGAGACAGAGAAATCATGACCATACATAGCTCGAACATGCCGAGATATTGCGTATATGCAGGAATGTTAGCCTACATTATTTATTTCCATACTTAGTTAAGTAACTAGAGCCTAAACAACAACAGTGAATGGATATATACACTACACTTCTGGCGAGAATAAGAAATTACTACTAATTAGGATAAGGTTCCCTAGTTTAAATATAATTACATAATACTTGAAGGCAAACAACTGATGAACCGGAAGGTATAACCGGAAGATAAAACCGGAAACATGACCGCAATAAATAAATTTAAATATCATTACATAACCAGTATGTGCATCTCCAATATAATTTGTAACCTTGGTATGCGACATAATTTATTATAATATTTAATCAAATTGTTTCAGCGCAAAATAGTAAAGAAAATCATCGAAATTTCGATTTAGAACCATGGTTTCCTCAACATTTTTTATGCTGAATGTTATTAAATATTAGCTGTTTCTCGCGGATCCGTCCACGTGAAAACAATATAGCCTATATCGCTCACAGATAAATTACCTTTCTAATAGTCAAAGAATTTTTTAAATCGGCCCAGAAGTTATTACGTGAGTCAAATACATACAAAAATACAAATATTTCATCTTTATAACATCGCAGTGATATTTAACATGCTTAAGTCTCCGTGACATACACACTGGTTAAAGTTATACAAGTCCGTGTTAATATTTTACTCACCAAAAAACAAGAAAACAGGATAGCTGCAACTGTCTTGTCGGTTAAGGTAGCGTGAATATTTATGATGACGAGATCATTGATCGTTAGAAAGAGCAGGAGAAAGAAACCAAATATATGTGTCCATATGTTCATGGTTTCATTCGTCCACCAGAATATACTGAAACAAAATTATTTATTACTTCATTTATTCCTATTCGTAACGGGCTATACATGCATGCCATATTGTTTTTGGTGGAGGGGAACGTGTTAAGTTCTAACAAATGTAGTTAATTGATTTCAGAGACATATATCCCTATCCATCCATCCCTATTTAATCTCGTCTCTATATTTCAAAAGAAAAAAATATAATAAACCCAAGTCTAATATAACCGAGTATACAGTAAATTAGACAAAAAAAAACGAAACAATGTACAATTAATTACGTGCTCGTGAAACTGATTAAGATTATTATAATGAAAATGGAATATATTTTTATATGACCTCACGTCAAGGCTCGTTCTGCGAATCACGGAACTTGGCTTAAATTTCCATGTGTACATATAATGAGATAGTTAATTAGTATTCATCGAAATTACAACAAGCCTAACTATATCTTTATGTAGTTTCGGGAAATAATACGAAACAAATTACATTTCACTCTTCAAAATCAGACAAACCCCTACATATATTTTATCGCAACAAGAACCATAGCAAAATAAACATCGCCGTTGCGACCAAATGGTACACATTAGGAGCCCACTCAGACTACAGACTTTATCAGCCAATAGTTTATGGGAGCTTAATCAGTATGAACATGTACGGAAGTTGGTACATTACAACGATTTCGTTTTTAGCTATTTTAACTTCACAGCACAATCAATTCTGTGGTTTTCAAGGGCTCTAATTGTTAATAAGATGTTTGTGCCACTAAATAATCTGTGGAGATACATTTTAAAACAAACAATAATTTTGCAGGATTAAGTAGCTGCGTTCAAGTACAAATAAATGGATTTAACCTTAAAATATGTTGTTTACGGAAATGCAACAGTACGTAATATTACAGTAACTCGTTCAATTGATATCTAGGTCGTAATACGTATTTTTATAATCATTTTTTTATTATCCAAGAGCCATCATACATAGTATTTACCAAAAAATATAGTTTAAGCTTTAACTAAGTGGTGGCGTAACTATACCAGATTTAATTAAATTTTAAGTATAGATTGTCACACATTTACGTATAGGCAGTCGTCTTATTTACGGCATGTTAGGTTCTCGTAATTCGCGACTTAAATCGAAACGACGCAAGTCGAGACATATTTTTTCATATGTTTACATGTTAAATTCAAGGGTTAGGTTCCACACGGATTCGAAACAAAAAAAAACTGCATTTATAACAAATAGAAGATTTCTCAAAATTAGAATCAATTTGATCATTATTTTGATCATCTCGTATACCGAAAATCGAAACAAATGACGTACGTTTGAGGAATAGTGTCAAAACATTGTTCGACATAACTTGAAACGACGTAAATCAAAACGACGTAAGTCGAGGACTGCCGGTACTTATATTTGAAACGCAAATTATAAACAGCAACAAATCTAAAGACAAAGAGAACCTTTAGCATGCGTAAAGTTGTCAGGTTGTATGTGGCATGATTATAAACACCAAAATTGCACAATTTGATGCACGATGTTACACTCCAATTGGAATCATTCACAATCACTTACAACACAATAATCTATATTCATCTATAATAGTTATGTTACTGAATGTACACTTTTATGCATTAAATATAATAGAAAATTCGTAAATAAACCAAAGCTTGACTGTAATCTGTCCTGAGTTTTCCAAAAGCTTATACACTCTAGCTTAATAAAATCCTATTAAAACTACTTGTAACATTTAAAACACTTCAGAATTGGAATTTGATATTTTGGATTCATTATTGAGGGAAATGAAATCAATAAGAATAATATACAATTAATTATTAATTATGAAACAAAATTGTATAAGCACTAAGAACCAGTTTATTGCATAATTTTCATAAAATTTTAATTTTTAACTTCATCATCACCAGCTCACTTTACGTCCCCACCGAGGGGTTCGGAGCCTACCCTAATAAGGGGTGATTAGGCCATAGTCAACCACGCTGGTCAAGTGCGGGTGGGTTGACTTCACACATATCTTTGAATTTCTTCGCTGATATGTGCAGGTTGCATCACGATGTTTTCCTTCACCGTAAGAACGTCGGGTAAATTATGTACATATGAAAATTCGAAAAAATCGAAAATCACATTGGTACAACGTAGCAGGATTCGAACCCAAGACTTGTGGATTACAAGTCAAGTGTTCAAACCACTGAGCCAAAAACGCTTTTTTATTTTTAACTTAAGTTATTTTAAATATCTAACCAAAATGTCCATCTTACCTCTCCCAACATAATCTAGTAGGTAGTAACTTCCGATATCCATCTCTGATGAAAGGATTGTGCTGCAAATAGACTGGAGCTTCTTCATATTTTAGTAACTGTCTGTAGTTTATATACAAAATATCTTCTTTAGTTATATTATTATTGTCTTCTAGTCTTTTTCCTCTACGGAGCAGTGTGGTGCTGCTGCAGTAGTCTTTATCCATAATACATTCTTCTTCAACCTTATAAAAGTCAATAATATAAATATACAGTTTAAAATTTTAACACATGTGTAAGAAGTTAGATTTAAATTATTGTTTCAAGTTAAGAATTTGCAATTTTCTCTAAATATCATCTATATTTCGTATGATAAGCTTAATCAGACATGAACTGTATATATTTTGTTTGTTATTATTTTTTTGCTTATTAACTTAATAAAGGTTTTCTAATAAAAAAAACATATTTAACATTTACAAAAAAATTAAATGTAGTTTTGTTATTCATGAAAACAATTGTAACAAAAATAATTCTAGCTAATTTATTTAAAAAAATATAATTCAACAGATATAGATATGTATTCCACATAGTCCCATAAACTTATACCATAAGTTACTACATCTACTTTGGAAAATAGACATTAAGCAATAAATACTTACTTTCTCGATAGGCATAAACTGGAGAGTTTCTGCATGGCATTCACTTACTTTTCTAGTCATTGTTATAGTCATGGTGTATTTTTTGGTCCAAGAATGTTGTGTGAAATACTAAGTTTACTCACAAGTAAAAGGCACAAAAGTTCGAAACTTGCTTACAATTGTTTTTTTTTATATTTAATAACTACAAAGTTGTCTATAAAAAACAGTGAATGATTTAAAAATTAATAGGGAAATAAACGAAATAGACACTGCGACACACACACCCTACAGATCTGGAACTAATTTAAAGACTAAAAAGTTTATTTGGTTTTCGTTGATGTTTTGCCATCTTTCTTCAACTCAAACTCAAATCTGTCAGCTAACTGTCATCTGTCAACTTCGAATGACGTGTGACGTACAAGAATGTCAAAGAGTAAAAGGCCTGTTTCTTATGTGATCTATGGGAAACGTGGTTCAATTATTATATTACTAACAATAAAAAAGTAAAACTTACAATACTCTACGAAGAACCTAATGGCGGACTTTAACTAATAATAAACTACACTTTAGACATCTTCTTACATGTTAATTTATGGGGATTTAGGCCAGGCACCACTTACAATTATCCATTAAGCCACAAAAGAATGCAAACCGAATAATCAGCAGCTGACGTCCTTCAATATTTAATAGATTGTCGCTATTCTAGTATAGGTTTAATCACATTTAACACCAACAGTCGTGTGAAATGTAAGTGATAACACTTCACGCGGCGGTATATATAAAGGGGTAATTAATTGTTTAAGCAATAACGAGATTCATCAGATCTATTCTCAATGTCCTTTTCAATAACTAAAATTAGCTTAAAAGTTTCTACATAATTGAAGATTACCTAAGAAGACATTTTCTGAACAATATGAGTTCTGTTTACACCTGTAAAAGTTTCAAATTGCACAAACGTGAATGAAAATAGATACTACTCTACAACTACTGTATCCAAAAATAGCGCCGGCAAATCTTAAGCGTTCGTCACTTCCGAAAAAAAGTGTTGCTACTTTAAGACAGTAAATCGTATCAATTACAGTTATATTTTAAGAACAGAAAACAAAATAACATAAAAACATAATCTATTTAAAGTAACTAAACAATATTTACTAGTTTTCTATCTCATTATGGATATTATGAAGCATAAGCGGTAAAATAAATAACAATTTAAAAAATTGCGTATGTTAAAAATTTTAAACATACCAGATAAAATGAACGCTCCTTGCAAATGGTCGATTTTCCTGTTTGCTGTTCTCCATTCGCCGCGAGTGCGTTAATTTTGTTAGAACTTGCGATCTGTCCTAATTCCTATTATTTATTAATATTAGTTATTATTATTTTTTATTTAAGTATTTAAAGTTTTACTCCAATTGTTATTATTTCATTATTACTACATAAAACGAATAAGAAGTACTTTTACGTTTAGACGGGAGCCATCTTGCAATCTCTAATCAAAGGTCCTTGGCTCACAGTTTCGTTGTCTGGTTGAAAGTCAGTTTATTCCATCATATTATAATCAAATGGCGTTAAAACGAATTAATAGGGTACGTACAGCTATATTTTCTCTTTATTTGAAAGATTTACGCGTTAAATAATAAAGTGCTATAATTTTTGAAGAGTTCGTAGTGAATGTTTCGTCATTGTGAATACCTATTAGGTATCGAAATTTCTTCTGGATAATTCTGAGTGTGTGATTTTTATAAATTCAACTATTACTATAATTATGTTCATATTTCATATTTTAAGAAGGATTAAATGGTTTTGCTGGTTAACTTTGATGACAATTTTATGCACACGGCGTACATAAAATGTCGGAATTATGTGCCAATTTTGAGGTTTTCTTGTCATGTTTCCGAGACTTACTATGATCGAAGCTAAAAATCCAAATTCTTGTGAAAGAAGTATTATTTTGGAATTCAGATTAAGCCATTTTTAAATTGTAATTTATTTAAACCGCTGATTTTGCAAGTGATGATGTGTTTGACTTATCTCGTATTGTGTTTCCTGCTTTGTATGTAGATGTTATTTCCGTTTCCAGGAATTACAAGACCTGGGCAGAGATCCACCAGCACAATGTTCGGCAGGACCACACGGGGAAGATCGTAAGTATCTATTGATTTTTAAATTCTAACTTACCACTTTATGACTCATTTATGAAGTAAAGACAAAACAATAACCTTTCGGAAAGGGTAATATTGTTTAATTCTATCTTTTTCCAAACAAATATTGATTTTCTTAGTAGGTAGAAGTGGAAGTGTTCTAATGAAATGTATAAAAAGATTTGCACATTTAGTTTTATAAAGACCTAAATTAATCAGCTGTTTCCTTTAAATGTATTCAGTAAAATGCTTTGTTTCATTCGTTTTTTTCGTTTTTAACTTTGTCCTTTTAATGGCTTGTGAATGTTTAATCCTATTAAGTTTATATAATCTATTATGAAAGCATAAGTATATTTTTATAATGTTATTATATCTCTTTTCAGTATTCCATTGGCAAGCCACAATAATGGGTCCAGTAAGTTTTTTGTTAAATATAAATATTAAATGCTTAACAATACTGTTTATGAATCAATAGTCTTTTGCCACTATTTCATATGAGAACAAAAAAAAAGGAAGTACTGCTTTTGTTAAAAGTTCTTGTATTTTGCAGGTCGACAGTCCTTACCAGGGGGGTGTGTTCTTCCTAACTATACATTTTCCTACAGACTACCCATTCAAACCACCTAAAGTTGCATTCACAACGCGTATTTATCACCCCAATATAAATAGTAACGGGTCAATTTGTCTTGACATTCTACGTGCACAATGGTCACCTGCACTTACCATATCCAAAGGTACCATACTAAACCTAAAAATTTCTTAATTATTGTTGATTATATAAATCATTAATTTTGTTCTTTCTTTTCAGTGTTGCTTTCAATCTGCTCATTGTTATGCGATCCAAACCCGGATGACCCCCTGGTGCCAGAAATTGCTAGGATCTACAAAACCGACAGAGAAAAGTACAATGAATTAGCCCGTGAGTGGACAAGGAAATATGCCATGTGATGAGTCAATTGTGACATTTGCAAACATATACACACATCGCCACAGCCCGGGCTAACCCCTTTCTAAGTTCCCGCTCCCCACTCCCTCTTAGTATAAAATCTCAATAAATTATCCAAAATTAAATAAAAATGTATAAAACACTATTGGTCATCTGTAGAGTTTGCAAGTTTGATGTTGTCTCCAATAATTTTAATGTGCAACTCATCACATCAAAGTTTATGTGCAAGAGGCATCTTCTATGATGGCAAAATTGTTTTGTTAGCATCGTCACTCATTTAGTTGAAGTTTTGATTATTAGTTAAATTTGTATAACTTGAATTTATGTATTCCTAAAAGAATTTGTACTTTAACTAGACATAAATTGCATTGTGAAACTGTACAATAGCATATGTTTAGGATATGGAGCGTTCCTTGCTTGTCATCCGGTTCACTTAAGATTTTGTCAATGTATTGTAAGCAAAGCTCATGATGTTAAGAACATTCTGGTAATGTATGTAAATGGTACAACAAAATGAGCTTCTCGACGATGTTGAGTGAGTGGTTTTTTTTTACTAGTAAAGCATCTCGTTTAAGTTAGTGAATGTAGCTTGCTACAGCAGACTGACATTGGCTGAGTGGTCAGTTTTCTTTCATCCACAATATCGTGAGTATCGACGAAAACGCTCCTATAGGGCCGAGATTCAGTATAAATTACAGTGTATCTCATAAGATAATAAGTTTAATCTAGACATTTTTTTTCAATATGGCGATCTTTATAATTATAATTTTATCTAATATATATTGTGGTTGTAAGGATACTTGCGTTGTGATTTCCTCTCCAAATTCTCCTTTCCACATTACCATCCTTTTAATCCATTTTAATATTAGCAGTATGGCAAACTGACTTAGCATGTTGGCGTAAGTGGCGGCGAACACTCACTTGGCTAACACTGGGAGAGCAAAGTTAAAGCTTTTAAATTGTAATCAACAGACAAGATGTATTTTAGCTTCACTAAATTGTAAGAAAACAATAAATTATTGTGTATGTAAATAACTATTTGAGCTTTATTTAGGGGTCATTTCCTTGATTTGGGTGGTATGTAGCAGCTTTTGGCTGTCATACATAAAATGATCACTTTTTTTAAAACAATCTTGAATTTTTTGATTTGAACATTCAAAATTTATGAAAACTGGATGTTCTCAAGGACACTAATTTGATCTTAGACCTAAATATAGAGCTTTTTGGTGGAAGTAATACATCTTTGTCTTTAGAAGAATAATTTTGCTTTTTAAATGTTCAAAAAAACTAAACAGTTCTACTTTAGTATTTATTTCATGACTAATTTGAGCTATTATAAAAATAATCCATTTGTGTGTCGCCTACAAATCGATTTAATCAATTTAATAAAATTGAAATGGATCTTTTCTGGGGATACAGCAAATATGGAAAGTAAAGCGTGTTTCTAGGTTAAAAAAATCTGTGATTCCAGTAATGAGGATAGATCGTTAAGGATATGGCCTGGTAGCGACATTTAGGTGTAAAAAATCAGTCGGGTAATGAGATTCATGACCGTTAACCGTGATGCTGACGTCAGATTTAAATATATTTTTGAACAGACAGACTAAAAGGGGATTGGATTCTGCAGGCGCACCTATAACTATAGGAAGCTAAAACAATAAAGAGCTTTGCCTCTACTATATCTAAAGTGGTTGATGTCAACAGTGGTCATTCAAGGGCAGAATGACGATAGGTTCGGAAACATGTTTCGTAGTAAACTTTTACTATAATGGTAACACTAACCGCAATGGTAATTATAGAGTTGGTGGTAATATCTGTCTCATCATCGTCGTGCGCCATCTATAAAAATGTAATCTGCTGATCCAATTATTGGTTAGAACTCATACTATTTTTATCTTCAAGGGCAATATGACTGCATCACTCTGCTCCCTTATCTATAGACCATATATGGTAATATAATTTTTTCTGCCCTTATTGAAAGCAAATACTAAATAATATGCGCAACATTTGTTTTTAACAGATTATAATATCGGTGATTTGTATGTTTATAAATTATTTATAAATCACCGCAATACTTTGTAGTTGTATTTGCTACACTTCAACATGGAATACAATCAACAGTTTTCTGGTTGCGAAGTATCAAAACTGTTTGTATTTACATGTTCTATTGATAGGCTTTTTCTTTTAAACATTTAATGTTTAAGTCAGTATAGATAAAATAATTGTTTATATCCAAATAAAAAACTAATGTTGCAATTTAATTGCAATGGCTGCAAGAGAAGTTAATTCCACCTGGACATGACAAGGAACTAGAATCAATTGTAAAGCTTTACTCCAGCGTTCAGAGATAAAAATGTATAGATTTATGCATAAACCACCTTTTTAGTGGATAACAATAAGGGATTGTATACATAAAAGTAGCGCCTGTTACGAAGCCACGGGTGGAATTATTTTCCTTATACGATGACAATACTTTGCATGTCATTATTGTGAAGGGACAGAGAAACAGCAAGCGCTGTTATAAGCGCACATTAAAATTTAATTTAGCTACATGTATTCAGAAAACGTGTTTTCCTTAAAATTCTCGAAATTGTCTAAAAAAGGTGAAACATGATGACTTCTATCAATATATCTGCATAATTCAACTAATTGAAAAGCAATCAAATCTCACGTAGTAGATAACTACGTATCTGTTTTAATTTTCTTATCTAGATATACGATAAAGATCCGTAGTTTGTATGACTTTTATTATAAAAATATTATATATGCGTAATATTTTTGTGCTGTAAAATACTGTGGATCGTGGATACCGCAGAGCAATTTCCAAGGAGTTACCAGTTAAAAAAATAAATAATAATTCTTACATTTATTACTACCAAAATATATTAGTGAAATAAATACAAATTTCGATACATTGAAGACATAATGGTCCTTATAATATAAATCAAAAGCATTGACAATCATTAACTACTCTAAACATTATTTTTATGACTGGCAATATAAACATACAGACTAAAATTAATTTAAATCTTACATTTTACTGTTTATTTGTACACAAATTAGCCTCTGAAATAAAATACACTAAACATTTTAATGTCTTTGATAGTTACTATATTGCGAGGGATTTTACTAGATTTACATTTTAGAGGTTAAATTGCTTTATTTAAAAAAAATCATAATGTTTACGACATATTGAATTGGAACCAGTGGCTTTTACATCCATGTTCCCAAATACATTTATCTAGCGATTTTATCATCAATTCTCAGCAACTGCTTTTTTTTACTGTCATCATGATTGCGTATTTTAGCAATTCATTGCTTGAGAAAGGCAAAGACCGGTGGGTAAATATTACTGTTCGAATACTTTTGGCTACGTAAAACAACAAATATTCTCTCTGGATTCAAATTGTTAATGAGAAATAACTATTTTTGTATTACTTTGTACACTTAAATATAAATACAAGATGATTGCATCCGACTACCGTTTTACATATGCGTCATAAACCGTTATGTAGAATCTATTCACATGTAGATGCGATTTTTGTTCACATACAAAACATGTTACAATGTTATAATCTGTAACTATAGAAAGTTTTATAATGACTCTGTTCAAATTAACAAAAATAAATAAACTTTTGATAAGATAACGTTGACAGTTTTAAACAAATATTTTTATAATATGCAATTTTGTTCTGGTACAAATGGTTGCTTTTACGATGTTTGTACATTTTATCTACCATTTTATAATTATTTCACCATTAGGAAACTGCATTATTACTGAGTGACATAGTCTATTTTTAAATTTAAGCAAACAATGTCGCAAGAAAACATAGTATGTATTAAACCAGTCTGAACTAATTATCTACAGAACATTGTCTGACGACATGAATAATCTTTATCCATTATCGTATTTGGCAGTGATTGCTTAATTATTTAACTCAATAGGGCGATTAACAATTTAATTTCTGATAATTGTTCTTTGTTTAAAATATACGAGATATTATTGCGGGTGTAGATTGCCGTGACATTTGTATTGACAAATACTGTTGTCCCTTTTTATTCAAAGCAAATGTTAGAGATGACAGTGTTACAATGTCACTGCAGTCAAAACCCAGTTTTATCGTACTGGTTTTTGCTCGCGACTTCGTCTACGTGAAAATAAAAATTGCAAAACAATGTTGCCTATGTTACCCGGGGACTACATAGTTTTTTATTAATGAAAGAATTTTTGAAATCCACTCAGTAGTTCTTGAGTTATTTCAAAACATACAAAAATCCAAAATTAAAAATCATTCCTCTTTATAACATTAGTATAGACATAACCACCAAGGGAGGGAGGTCTCCTGCTTTTGGTGACGCCAACTGTTTCTACAGAATAAAAAAATATAAAACAGATACAAAAACTATGCAGAAAAGACGGTATTATTGCTAGCTTGTCACTCTTAGAACATCGACTGGCGACAACCTAATTTTATTCATTTTTCGATTATTAGGAGCTTAATTATAGTTTTAAATACATTTTTAAACCAATTATTATTTACACGTTTACAGTTCAGTAGTTTCCATATTTTTGGCGTTTTTCATTTGCTCTAGCTGTTGATAGAATGCGCAATCAGCTTGGTTCGTTCCAGTTTCCGTCTCATCAGATTGTATCGAAGGGAACGCACCAGTTGTTATAAAATAAGGTTTATCGCTGGCCAAGTCCTGGTTGACTGCATTTTCATCTAAAGAATCACGTTCAGATTGACTTAGTTGTTCATCGGATTTGTACCAGTCGTTCTCGTAAGCCTGCAGCCATATTGGATTAGATCCTTTC